GTCACTCACTTCTTTTTGAACCGCATGAAGTGTATTTTCTTGTGTTTCTCATCTGTCCTGATGTCCTCAGTAATCAGAATAATAAATACCCGAAAGTCCTCCAGAAATTCGAACTATGAAGGTTCGAAGGACAAATTCTTCAAGTTTTAGAGAGGCGTTGGAAAATTGTATTGCCCGCAAAAATGTGGTGAAGTACTGTATTTGGAAAAACGCCAGCTTTGAATGGAAGGAGAAGCCCTCGAAATTTTCTTGCAAAAATATATTTGAATCTGGGAAAATAACGCGTAATTCTGCTGCACCAATAATTCAGGTCATCTGAAACAACTGTTACTTCGCATGTTCCGGTCCTGATGTGTGTCAGGGAAGCAATGCACACATTTTGATTGCTTTTGCATTACAGACCTCTGAGAGCGTTTGCAAGGCATCTTTTTCTTTAAAAAGGTGCATCTTCATCCCGGCAAATAAGTGTTTCGAATTATCTCGAATGCTCCGACAGACGGTTAATATGATGACATAAATGTCATTGAACATTTTCCGTGATATTTTCGTCCTGAAAAATGAAGCGTTATGATCCGCGCGGTGGATTGCAACAGTTTACGTCCCGTAAATGAAGCTTCATCAATGATTATTGCTTGATTTATTTCGCACCTTGTCTATATATGTTGGATCAACCTAGTCCGAGCTATTTTTTTATGTAAAAATTCTGACGATCTGATCCAAGAGTGAGATGATTCTCCGTCATTTTATTCCAATAAGCTTAAAATAATGAAAAACTCTGGAAAAAGTTACGGTGAATAAGTACTTGAAAACATTTCGATGGCAATATATGTACTCATCATCAATAAGGCAAACATTACTGAGATAATAGAGACAAGTTAGTTCAATTTATTGTAATAGAATGTTTATAAAATTATCCGTACGAAGAAATTTCCCGGAACAATAAAAATATCGTTACAATAACGAGATTCGTTGTGACGGAATTCTACTGCATCTGATAACGTTTGATTCTCGTAAGTATGAAAAATATAATTGTCGATTTCAAGGACAGAAAACCTGTTTCATTTTCCACGTCGGATTCACAATTTTTGAACTTGGATGATGCCCATCATTCTTTGCACTTCGTTGTGCATGGAATCGGAAGAAATTTGAACCGGTCAGAAAATATGTCCAAATAAGCCATGTATGCTGTCGTCGGAGCTGTGAGAGGTGGTGGAAGTTTTGAAAATTGACGATGGATAAATACGTTCACACATGCTTTGTAACATTTTTAATCCAGTCCATGTAGCAGGCGACTTCTGAGTAAACTCCGGGTGTGTGAGGCGTTGCGCATCCAATGCCCCAACTGGTCACTCCCATCAAATAGAACTTGTTGTCTGGGGTGCCTTTCAGTTTGCACACCAGAGGGCCACCGGAATCACCCTTTTCACACAAGAATCAAATTCCATGCCATGAAAATGACGTCCATTCAACAGATTCTGACATGTAGAAAAATAATGCACTGCATGGGCATTGAAAGAAAATACATCACAGTAAATACATCTGCATAAATAATGATTTACAGTACCATATTTTTTTTCATGGTAAAATTACAGCAAAAGAGCAAAAGGCAATTACTGGTTAAAAATTAAAGCGCAATGTGTGCAGCCTATTCTCAGTTACCATAATTATTAATTGATTAGACAATGTAGGAAGAATCTTTGGAATAAATCAAATGAGCTTACTGTACATATACTGTACTGTAGTACCATTTTCACACAAGCACCATACCCACAAAAAATTTTTTCTTCCAGAAATAGCCAATGTGGGGAGCTATTCTTCCTGCTAATATTACACAATTGATGATGAACACTAAAGTCATATAACTGGTGAACATGGGATACTTGCAGGTTACAAATGTGCTCTGGTGGGATACAATTTTGCTACCATTCCAGGGTTACATTGCTGTACAGATGGTACCTTGCAATTTGACCTCCCACAATTCAAGCATCAAATTGTGGGATGGTTGAGGTGGTACCTTGCAATTTGACCTCCCACAATTCAAGCATCAAATTGTCGGATGGTTGAGGTGGTACCTTGCAATTTGACCTCCCTCAATTCAATCATCCCACAATTTGATGGTTGAATTTGCAGGGACATTAACCTGCAATTCAACCCTTGCCCTGCAATTTGACCTGCTTTGGACACTTATTTAAATTTTTGTACTGTATTGATATTTTTGAATTTCATGAAGTGTCTTGCAACTTGACTGCTTTGCAATTTGACCCTAGTTTGGCAATGGATTAGGGTTGAATTGCATAGTTACAGATGCATAGCCCTACTGTAAACACACTGCTGGTGCACATTTGGGATACACATAGGTGAAATAAGAAGGACTTCTGTTGCACATCAGGGTTTCCATTGTGAATACTGCACATGTGCAGCTAAAAATTGCAAAATTTTCCCAATTCATGCAGGTAAATAAGCACAAAATAGGGTGCCTCTAGTACCAAGTATACAATTCTTTACAGAANTGTTATATTATTACTTGACAGGCATCTCTTCCTTCTGCTCCAGCACACATCATTGTTTTTTGAATGACCTTCTGAGGAATCTGCTTCTGGCACTTCTCAGTAGGCACAAAAAGGATTGTTGCAGCTTTCAGCTTGGGGGAGGATCTTCCCCCTTCAGATATTCGTCCATAGCCCGTCACCACACATTGGTCTGTAAATGCCACACACATCTCAGTAACTCATCATCAGATGGGAAATGAATAACATCAATATATTCAGAGGATCTAGGACAATTTGAGACATGGAAAATTTGAAGCCAAAACAACTAGAGACAAGGAAAATTGGAGACTGGAAAATTATGAAGTAGGGACTATCTGAGACAGGGACTATTTGAGACAGGGACTATTTGAGACATGGACTATTTGAGACAGGGACTATTGGAGCCTGGAACAATTTGAGGTAGGACCTATCTGAGACAGGGCAAAGGGGCTATTCCAGACAGAGTTGCTTTGAAACCAATTATTGGAGACTGGAACAATTTGAGGCAGGGACTATCTGAGACAGGGGCTATTTGAGATGGGGTCAATTTGAGACAGGGTTGATTTTAGACAGTATTGATTTGAGAAAGGTACCATATTGGAGACAGAAAATGTTCAATACAGGGACTATTTGGGACAGAAACATTCCAATAAGACACAGGGAATTCAAGACATTTCAAAGAATTTTTGGACTGGGACTATTTGAGAAAATCATTATGTGAGCTACATCATGCAATTCTCTACCATGTTTCACGCTTGTTTACATTATTGATGATTGCATTTAGTGTGATGTGGGATAATGATTTAATGATAAAATATTCCATGAATATAACTAGATCTTTGTTTACAGGTTTTTGTAAAAAAAATCTTCTTTGTTTCATTACTGTAGCTTGGACAATTTTGAAAAATTTTATTTCACATGTGATTGAGAGTATGTGATAAATTATAAGTTTTGCAGGTTTTGAAGGAAAAAGCTTCAGAAGAGAATGAAGTCAAAGATGGATGTGCATGTTAGTTTTCATTTTTTCTGTCTCCAATTGTCCCTGCCTCAAATTGGTCTTGTCTCAAATTGACCCTGTCTCAAATAGCCCGTATCTCATTTTGGGTAAAATGAATAAGCATCAGCATTAGAGCTTTCAAGAACATTGCATGCTTTCCACAAATTTCAATTTTGGTGTATAAATGCTGCAGGCATGGAAAAAAATCAGCACAAGCTCACCAACATGATCCCCTTGAATGTCACACAATTCTGGCCCTGGAATCCCAGGGTACAGTCCAGAAGGAGGGCCATTTTTGGAAAACTGCACTCTTCCTTTCAACTTCAGCAGTGCAATATCATTCTCCTTTGTCTGCCTAGTTAAAACAATAAACTATCACACCGTACACCATGTTAGAATTTGAGCATTTTATTTTGTTGAGAAATTCATACACTTGAAAATTATAATGATGATGTTGGCAACTTATACTATCTCAGCTTCTCTTTTGACCAAAATATGAAGAAGACATTTATTTTTCAATATAAAAGGAACATATGGGCACTGATGCAACATGTGGACATTGCATGATAAAACTGCCAATAAGTTTCAGAAAAAATTGACTTAAATAAGGCTTAATTGCAAGAAACATATTTTTCCAACCCTAAGATCTATGCAAGAAAAATTCTTGGGTATTTCTCCCATCATTCTCCCATCCATCCAGCTAATTAAAAAAAGTACCCATAGCATAAAAGGACTTCCTTCTCTCTTTATTGTGACTTGAATGTTATTTTTACAGATGCCAACATTTCAATGTACTGTACTATGCAGAGGTACACCATTCCATGCCCCAAATGTTCTTATTGAGTTGAAAATATATTCACTGAATCAAATTCAAATGGCAAACATTTTTTTCATGGAATTCTGAAGATTATTTCTTCCATAAAACACCAATTAAAAATTATATAATGTAAGTCTATGGGAAAACACAACTTGACTTAGGGACACTCTTGATGCACCAATTATGTCTGCATCTGGGGGTCTAACTGTACAGTATATATAATGATATCAAATTTTCTGAGGCTCAAGGTGGAACATTTTGTTTATAATCCTATAGAAAAGAGCCAAATCCTCAAAATTCAACCTCTGATTGCGTGGGGAAATATTTTCAGTTGGTTGATAAAAACCTCAAATTATTCTTCAATTTTCACAATTCATTTTATTATTATTTTTGCTTAATTAAAAGAGGAACATCTACACTGACTTGTTATATTTGGACAAGATGACTGTTTCCACCCGCGCAGCTGGATGCGCCAGTTTGTCGATATGGGACGTGCCAANACCCGCGCAGCTGGATGCGCCAGTTTGTCGATATGGGACGTGCCAAAAACGATCTGCACTCTATCACTGCTCAAATTCAGCACAGCCAAGGCGCAATGAGCAGCCGTGAGAACCCATCTGGGTCCAATGAGGGTCCCACCACAGAAATGTTTCCCAACTGTGTCTCCTGGACAGTCCTTGAAGCGGCAAGACTGGATCGACACTTGCCAGGGATGTTCACCTGAAGAAAAAGAAAACCAAATTATAATTTGAATCAATTTAAAGGTACAAGATCCGACAATTTAAAAACTTTAGCTCTCATTTTGAACCACTGCTATGCTTTAAAAAAAAGAAGCACCTGCAGGTATAACTACTACCTTTCATTGAAAGCTATTAAATAAAAATAAAATAAAATAATGAATAAAATAAAATAAAATAATGAATAAAATAAAATAAAATAAAGAATAAAATAAAATAAAATAATGAATAAAATAAAATGATTATGAATAAAATAAAATAATAATAAATAAAGTAAAATAATAATGAATAAAATAAAATAATAATTACTAAAGTAAAATAATAATAAATAAAGTAAAATAATAATGAAAAAGTAAGATAATAAAAAATAAAATAAAACAATAATGAATAAATGAAAATTATAGTAAATAAAAGAAAATAATAATAAATTAAAGAAAAAATAATATATAACAATATATAAAACAATATATTTATTAAATTTTTCTTCAGATTTTACGCAACTTTTGTCGTACAGCATCAAAAGTGACATAAATTCTTTCTTACAAAAAAAAATGCAGGGTGCAATTTTAAAAAGCTAAGACACACCTTTTCTATTTCCCCGAAACGAGTCAGCTGTCAAAATGGCCAATGATATTCGGTGAATTCGTTTTGAAGTAAAAATGACGAGCTTTTTGAATGTACCCAGAAAATATTTCAAATTTTTGTTTACAGAGAAAACAACCCAGGATTTTTTCCGCAAACAAGATCCCTTCTCTTTTGCGCGGAATAATGTTTCACTCTGGTCAACAAAAGGCGGCATTTTCCATTCGCTTCTGCAATTTGCGTCGTTTGGTTTTTTTGGCATGCAGAAATACTTCTTCAATGCACACTTCTCAGATGAAATTAATTTGCATTGTGCGAAAGCATGAAATTCATACTACAATTGATCACGAAATTTTCAATAAGCTCGCAGATACAAAACTTTCTGTATGCTCAACAAAAATTCCACATTTTTTGTCTTTGAACAAAAATTGAAGCTCCAATTTTGATTTATAAACGGCAAAGCTTTTGTCATCCAGAAATAATAACAGTATATTTCACATGTGATAGACCCTTTGCTCAATAATATTCAAGAAGAAAAATTTGTTCCAATTTATTTTAAAAATTGCATTAGCCCAGAAACAAAATATGCTTTTTGCCTCCCTAAAAATGAAATTTATTCCCGCAGAATTTTCAAAAATTATCTACCATGCTTAAGTATGCACGTGTCCCTGGAATTTCAAAACTGTCATGGATTCATCTTGGAGAAGCAATTGGGGACAGATGTCACCTCAATATAAGTTAGTGTTCAAGCTGGATGGAAAGGATAACAGGTATTTCACACAGGTTAATAACTACTTAGAAAACTCTTGCTTCAACTACTGGATTGAACTGTATTAATTATATATATATATATATATATATATATATTCTTATTTTCTCTTGATTGACTAACCAAACATTTAATAATCACCCTTCATTATGTTTTACCATTTGTTTTTGAGGTAGAGGATGAAACTTTAGTAATTATCTGTATTAATTATATATATATATATATATATATATATTCTTATTTTCTCTTGATTGACTAACCAAACATTTAATAATCACCCTTCATTATGTTTTACCATTTGTTTTTGAGGTAGAGGATGAAACTTTAGTAATTACTGTGCTGAAAAAGTACATCAATGATTGTGTTGCAGAGAAAATGAGAGAGGAAACTAATGACAATGATTTCTTCAATTTCCTTTATATGGGCCAATCTGAGGCCAGGGAATATACAATAATATTCTAGAATTATCTGGTCAGATCACCTGATGAGACAATTCCAAGAAAAGCTCTCATTAATTTGAATTTATAAGCAGTCTGTCCTGAACTCTTGAGGGGCAATCATCTCCTTACTTCTTCCTAACTGATCTGTGCACAAATCTGTTGTGGGGTTGCATCCACGGGGCGTGACCCAAGCGCATCAGCATCCTTGCTTGGACATACCGCGCAGCAACGGAAACCCAGGGGCCCGGAAGCAGATAGGAACCCAGTTTACCGCAATGCCGTAAACCTGGTGAAGTAGCTGATACTAATCTCTGGCGGCAGAGAAGCCCGAACGAAGTCTATGACTTTGGCACTCTTATATTGGGATTGCCTGACAGCGGTTGTGCATTTACTGGAGAGCTCTGATCTGTTCTGATTATTGAGTGTGTACTCTAAAGTTCTACTTTGTCCTTCTGCG